TCATACAAATCCGAACTCTTTGACTTTCTCATCGAAGCAAAGATTCCATCTGCGAGACGCTTGCTTAAGTCCATAAATGGACGTGTCAAGCTTACACACTCTATTCGGATGCTTCGGATCCACAAACCCTTCTGGCTAAGCCATGTAAACATCTTCAGCCAACTTTCCGTTAAGGAAAGCGGTCTTGACATCCATTTGCCAAATCTCATAATCATGAAATGCGGCAATAGCTAGCATCACTCTAATAGATTTTATCTTTGCAACTGGTGAGAAGGTCTCTTCATAGTCATCTCTGGGAGTTTGAGTAAAGCCCTTCGCAACTAGTCGCGCTTTAAACCTATGTACCTTTCCATCCACGTCGGTCTTCTTCTTGAAGATCCATTTGCACCCAACGGTCTTACGTCCAGGCACATTATCAACCAAATTCCAAACTTGGTTATCATACATGGATTGGATCTCGCTATCCATTGCCTCTTTCCATCTCGTCGACTCCGGGCTTGCCATGGCTTCCTTATAGCTATTAGGTTCATCAAGATCTATCGACTCTTGAATCTCTTCAAGATCGACTTGCGTCCCACTGTCTCCTTGGCCTATGAGTTCTTGTTCTCGGAAATCTCCTCTCGTCGCAACGAAGACAACATTGTCCTTCGGTCTATAGAAGAGATATCCAAAGGATTTCTGCGGGTAGCCGATGAAAATACATCACTCGCTACGAGGTTCGAGCTTGTCGGGAGTATCTCGTCTTACGAAAGCCTCGCAACCCCAAACCTTGATATGTGCTAACGAAGGAGCTTTCCCCGTCCACATCTCGTGAGGTGTTTTGGCAACCTTCTTAGTAGGGACTCTGTTAAGGATATGGGCGGCAGTCTCTAAGTCATACCCCCAAAAGGAGATTGATAGCGAAGCACGACTCATCATACAGCGAACCATGTCCAACAAGGTTCGATTACGCCTTTCTGCCACACCATTCAATTGTGGTGTCCTAGGTGGCGTCAATTGTGAAACTATTCCACACTCCTTAAGATAATCATGGAGTTCAAGACTTAGGTACTCTCCTCCTCGATCGGATCGAAGCATCTTGATCTTCCTGCCCAATTGATTCTCCACTTCATTCTTAAACTCTTTGAACTTTTCAAAAGTTTCTGACTTTTTCTTGATTAAGTAGATAGTCATTGGTAAAAGTCATGTAGAAGCGGTTTCCATCCATTGTGGTAGATCTAAACGGTCCACATACATCGGTATGTATGAGGTCCAATAGACCCTCACCGCTTTCGCACATACTAGAGAAGCGTGACTTAGTCAGCTTTCCAAGTAAACAAGACTCGCATGTGTCATCTTCCCTAAGGTCAAATGAATCCAACACTCCATCCTTTTGGAGTTGGGCTATGCGTTTCTTGTTGACATGTCCAAGACGACAATGCCATAAGGATGCCTTATCCATACTATTGGAAGAATCCAAGTACAAAACATTATTTCCTAAGTTATCAACAATCATAATAGTTTCATAAATTCCATTACATGTTATAGCTTCAAAGTAAAAGACACCATTTAGATAAGCTAAAATAGAATCATTCTCATTATTAAAAGAAAATCTAAAACCTTGTATAAACAAACCATGAAAAGAAATGATGTTTCTAGCCATTTCTGGCGAATAGCAACAATTGTTCAAATCTAAAGATAAACTATTCCTAAGCACTAAAGAATACATTCCAATCTTGGTCACAGGCGATGATCTTCTGTTTCCCATGATTAGATTTATTCTTCCATGCTCCACGTCTCTACTTCTTCTTAGTCCCTGCACATTAGAACAAATGTGGTAACCACAACCGGTATCAAGAACCCAAGAAGTATTGTGGGAATCATTAGATTTAATTGTATATATACCTGCGAAAGATGGCTTGATCTTTCCTTCCTTGATGGCTTGCAGGTACTCCGGGCAGCTTCTCTTCCAATGTCCTATCTTGTGGCAGTGGTGGCACTCTGCCTCCTTCAGATTAGAGCAGGGCTTAAAGGGATCAACTTTGGTCCCACTAGAAGAGGCACCATCTCGGGCTTTAACCTTTCGATAGTTCTTTGACGAAGCCTTCCTCTTCTTTCCTTTTCCTTGTCCAATTGCCAAGATAGGAGCAGCGGGCGGATTGGGAGTTGGTGCAACAGACTTGTCCTTGAAGTTGGTCTCAGTGACCCTCAAGAGACCTTGGAGTTTACATAGGGTGACCTCTTCTTTGTTCATGTGATAGGTCATCCTAAATTGATTGTAGCTCGGAGGCAAAGAGTGAAGCACCATTTCGATTGCCAAGTCTTCCCCAAAGTCAACATTTAACTTGCGAAGGCGGTCGACATACCTTTGCATCTTTTGCAAGTGCACGGTAAGAGATTCTCCATGACCCATCTTAGCGGAAATCATGTTAGTGAAAATCTCATAACGCTCTTGTCTCGCGTTTTTATGGTATCTCTCCAATAAGTCTTGGTGCATTTCGTACGGATACATGTCCTCGTAGGACTTTTGGAATTCGGAGTTCATTGTCGTGATCATGATGTAATGCACTTTCATTGCATCACGCTCGTGAGTTTCGAAAGCGGTGATTTCGGCCGGAGTAGCAATTTCAGGGTTGATTTTCTCGAGCTTCTCATCGAGGACATACTCCTTATCCTCATAGAGAGCAATCGTGCGAATGTATCTTATCCATTGGCTAAAGTTTGTTCCATCAAAGGTGACCTTTTGACAAAGGCTCGTTAAAGTGAAAGAACTCGCAGCAGCATTGTTAGCGTTCGACATCTCTAAATACAAAGGACAAAGATAGATCAGAATATGAATCCCTAATTATCACCCAATAAGAAGAATTAGGGCTAGGATCTAACAACAATATTTACACATTAGAAAAGGGATGCCGTAATCTAATATGAAAACAATTTGAAGGTAAGTGAATGACGATTCACTAATTCTCCACCATGAAAAACATAACTTTAAGTCCTAAATGTATTGAGAATTCCTAGGTTCGGATGAGATTCATTGAAAATTTTCAATGGCATGTTTAAATCTCGATATACCCCCTCTTGTTTGTGACTGGGATACCGAGGATCACAAAGCGGGTGTGAATTATCATACAAATTAACGTGGTGCCTTCATTGTAACGATCACCTATTCGATGTGCCGGTAAACCACACACACTCCATCGAACTATGATAAACAACGAATCACCCTTTGCCACCTTCGCTTAGAACCAATTAGTGTGCCGGTAAACCACACACGCTCCACTACTGCTTAGCAAGGTGCAAAGTGTAATTTTATGGGATTGCATCAATTCACTTTTCCTAAAGTAACTAAGATTGGGAAATTTTAATAAACATGTACTTACTTTGTATTTCTTATTATACTTTTAATGAGAGGATGAGGTTGCCCTATCCTACCCGTTTGGCTAACGACCCTCCACCAATCAAGCTAGCGGTGGGTGTGAGTGTGCACCCATTAAGCGTCATTTTATAGGCCGCAACCTTATACCCACCTTATAGATCGGCTTCGTGAATGAGGCCTACTAACGATAAGACTAGCATTTTAGTTATACATATATAGATATTAATCTTGTAATATTATATTAGTATAGGGTTGGATTTTAAACATGTAAAATTCTAGGGTTTGAAATTTAAATTGTCTAAATTAAACATTTAATCACAAAACATAAATTTCAAAACTTGAGGACATGTTTTAAACATTTAAAACATAAAGGATCAAATAACAAATAATCTAAATCACATAATTATCCATATTTGATTAATAATTATCATATAAGGAAATCAAATATTTTATTAATTTATAATTATCTTCAATTAGATCAAAAACATAGTCATATATATCACAAAATCGGATTAGGGTTGATCTAATATGATTAAGGTAAGTTTCCATAAGATAAATATGAAAAAAATCCCGTTTTTGGCTAATCCTGATGCTCGGACTCGCCGAGTACCCATACTGGACTCGCCGAGTCCATGACTCAGAAACATAAAAATCAAATTTTTTTTAGTTTAGTTTCATACAAGCAACAATTCAATGAAAACCAAGCTAGTCTCTGATACCACTGTTGGGTTTTAGCCATAAGAACTTTCCTATGTGCGCATGCAAAACCCTAATGCTCGGATCTAGGCTTTCTAATCATACATGCTTTGAATCCAAGACTTCTAATAAAGATTTAGATGTAAAACAATATTGAAAAAGATCTAGAACCATACCTTTGAGTTCCTTGTTGATCTTGTTGTCTTGGAGCTTCTAGAGTCATAATTGTCACTCCTCTAATGGCTTACAAACCCCAATAGCAAGGAGGATGATTTGGGAGAGAGGAGAGGGGCGGAATTCGACCAGAGTATCCTTACTTTTGAAGATCTGTCGAATTCTCTATCCCATAGGGTCTATTTATACTTGTAGACTCTTTAAGGGTTACAGCTTAAACCCTAGTTGGATAACTTAGACTTTAAGTTAATCCATATCCTTACCTTAGATATCCTTTGGACGATTTTGGCTTATCCAAGCCCTAGAAATCGTAAAACCTATCTTCCATAAGGATTTATAGTCTAAAGTGTAACTATCAAACAATTGACAGTTTATACCCTCTTATTTAATTAGTCTCTTTAAGTCACCAAATTAATTCCAATTAATTCTATGACTTATTTTAATCAAATAACAATATATTATTCTTTATATTATTCTCATAATATACTAATAATATTTACTCTCTCTTAATAAATCATCCTATCAAGTTGTTATGGTGAAGGCAACCCAAAAGGACCATGCACAACCGGGTCAAATACTTGCCTAATATAATTGTAGCCTTAGACACTATTCCAACACATTCAGCATCTGGGCTGAGAATGATGATGAAGCTCCCATCACGAGAGGGCAACTCAAGGCAATATACAAAAAACTAGACTCGCTGCTTCACACTTCAAAGGCATCATCCACTCATGATTATTTTCAAGCAACAGTCAAGTCTCTTCTTGAGAATCTTATGAAAGAGCACTCCACGAACATTGACAAGATGAATAAGGCAGTAGATGATTCTGCCTCTATTTGCAACAACACGGCTGAAAAAGTCGATAAACTAATTACTAATTCCATGTCATTCATGGAGAAGATCCAGAGCTCCTTTGAGTCCAACACTGCGAAGGCTAACAAAGTCATTTCTAGTTTGGGATCAACCCTTAAAACTGAGAAGGTGAAACTTCAAGAAGTTCACTCTAGCCTGAAATATGACTATGACGAGTTCCAGTTATCCATCTCCTCATAAATATCAAAGCTTCAAGATGATCTCGCAATGGAGAGCAAAATAATGGATGCTCTTGCAGTCCAGACTAAAAAAGAGAAAGTCCTGAGCATCCAACTCGAAAATGTTGAGAAACAAGTCAATGATTTGTTATTCAAGAAAACAGGTATGGAAACCTATATCTTAGATGTCATTGGCATTCTTTCGGATATCATTAAGACTATGGACTCAATGATTACAACCATATTGAGGAAGCATCTTGCAGAGAAACTAAAGCCCGTCTTCGCCATGCTTCTTCAAATAGAAGGTGTTTTGGAATCTAGCTTCATTTTGAAACAAGGCGGAGAAAGTATGTCGCAATCTAAGAAGGAAGACTCCAAACCCTCAGCCAAGAGCCCTGTCAAAAGTGAATTTGAGCCTAAAGGAAAAGAAAAACTTTTTAGACAAGAACCTATTATTGACCAAAGCGAAGATGAAGAGCCTAATGAAAACGAGCTCAAAAGAAGAAAAGCAGGTGAAGCTGAAATGGATGAGCATCAAAGGATTGTCTGTGAGGCTGAAGCAAAAGAGAAAACAGAAATAGAAGCTCAGACCACACTTGAAAGCTTATTTCCAGAGTGGACTCTACAGCGAATTCAGAACGAAGTTGAGGATCTACCGAGTCAATATTGGCTAAAACTAGTTATGTCATTCGAGATTCAGAATACAAAAGATTCACAACTGGATCTCCTAAAAACTCCAAAATCATTCAAGTTTCGCTCTTTTGTAAGAGTAGTGAATGTCCTATTCGTTGATAACGACGCAGACCATTTTCTTTTCTCATTCTATCTCAAACATATGCAGCAACAATATGAAACGTGGAGTGCTAGCAAGATTACTACAATGTAGGTCACTGGTCCAATCGAAACCGAAAGCTTCCCTAATGCGAAATTGAAGGTTGTGAAAGGTTTTGCTAGTTAGGTTCATGAATTAAATCTTGTAGACCTACTTTGTCTCAATACCTGTGATTGGATCATTCTTTATAGTTTACTGCTGAGAGACGGACAAAAATACGAGCCCATTATTGCTCACCTCAAGCTAATGATTGTTACATATATTCAAGAGGTGGGAAAATGGATTTGGAAATAGCTAATGATTGCTTCGTATATTCAAGAATTTTTGAGAAGTTGAAGCTTGGAATGATTTACAAAGAACGATGGTATGTGGTATCTCAGGCGCGAGAACGAAACGATGCAGACTTTCAGAAAGCTTGTTTCTTCCTCCCTAATAAACATTTATATACTACCTCTTATCTGGAGTACATTTAGGGCTTGGTCAACAAATTCAAGGGCAACTGCAAGGGTGAAAAGAAGTGATGGGTGTTATACAAACAATCATATGTGTGGATGCAACCCTAGAAATTGGATCTATGTTTTCACTATTAGATACACAATATTATGAACACATGAAGAACCGTAGCATGCTTCTATGAATTTCAAAATTCATAAGATGAGATGGATTACATACCTCTTGTTGTTATGTAGTAATAACAACTTAAATCTTGATTCTCCTTATCCTTGAAAGCAAGTACCACATGTGTAGTGCTTCTAATGGCTCACAAACACCAAGAGCAAATGGAGAGGTAAGAGAGAGAGGGAGCAGGATAGAAAATTCAGCCTTAGGGTTCTCTGGGAAGCAATTGGCCGATTTTTGTAGCCTAGGGCCTTATTTATACTATGAGCAGCTAGGGTTTCCTCCAAAACCCTTTGGACAACATAGACAATAAGCAACCCGTGGAACCTTCTGTAATAAGGCCATGGACGAAAATATCGTGTCCTTCCATCATAATTTCTTTCATCCCTTGTCCCATTGGTTTTCCCAGCCCAAAATCCAACTAACATACATTTGACAGTTTAAGTCCCTTTATTCAATTAAACTCTTCTAGTCACCAAATTAATTCTTAATTAATTTATGACTAATATAAATTAAATAATATGATTTCTCTTTTAATATATTATTCTTATAATATATTAATAAACCATAATAACCTCTTTCTCTATTATTTCTCCAATCAGGTTGCTTTAGTGAAGGCAACCCAAAAGGACCATGCAAAACCGGGACAAGTACTTACCATATAGGGTTACAGACTTAGACACTAATCCACCACTCTCCCATTTGGACAAGTCTAGTAACCATAAATGCAAGTAGAATTCGATTAGCAATCATAGCTCTCAAAAATGCTATCGAAGTCTGATCTTATCAATAACTCGTCCTTTAGATAAGGGATCGTATGATCCCCTGTTCTAGATATTATGCGAACAATAACGTGGAACATAGTCATACTTATTGTCTAACAGTTTGTTTCTCGATCTCAGATTCATCTGACATAGAACTTAATCGAACACATCAATTTAGTACTGACCGGGCCTGGCATATAAGTCAAACCAAATCATTGAGGGGCTTTGATATTGCTTTTACCCTCTTAGGATAAAAGGAATAGATAAACTTCGACTTATATGCATTTACTATTCACTAATCAAATTATACACAACAATGTGTATTATAACATCTAGTTACTGATGCGTCTACGCATTATCAATGCACAACCAATTAGCAAGCAATAAACCATATATCTAGGTTTTAAGACCATATGATATTATCATCTTGTGATCACTCGATATAAATTTCATGAAGTGATTCCAGCAATCGTGGGTTTATTCCAATGCTTAAATCTTACTCATAAGCACTCAAGAACATTGCAGCAAACCTTTGCTATGTCTAATACCTTTCAGACAATCTACACACCAATTCATGATAGTCTTCATTCATATCTACTACCGTTTGAATAATCTTATTTTCAGAACATCTAAGAGGTAAGGACTCGTCGATCGGTTCAACTGGAGTTTCCTCCATGGGCTGAGTGCCATCGTTAGAGGTTCCTTCACTACTCGACTCTTGAATCTCTTCAAGGTCGATTGTCCTCCCACTGTCCCATTGGATTATGAGTTCTCACTCAAAAAACCCCTCTCCTTGCAACAAAGAAAACATTGTCACTCGGTCTATAGAAGAGATACCCAAAGGATTTTTGCGGGTAGCCGATGAAAATAGATTGCTCACTATGAGGTTCGAGCTTGTCATGAGTCTCTCGTCTTATGAAAGCCTTGCAACCCCAAACCTTGATATGTGCCAACGAGGGAGCTTTCCCTGTCCACATCTCGCGAGGTGTTTTGGCAACCTTCTTCGTAGGGACTAAGTTAAAGATATGGGAGGCGGTCTCTAAGGCATACCACCAGAATGAGATAGGTAGTGAAGCACGACTCATCATGGAATGAACCATGTATAGCAAGGTTCGGTTACGCCTCTCAGCTACACCATTTAGTTGTGGTGTCCTTGGTGGTGTCAATTGGGAAACGATTATGCATTCCTTGAGGTAGTCATGGAATTCAAGACTTTGGTACTCTCCTCCTCGATCAAATCAAAGGATCCTGATTTTCCTGCCCAATTGATTCTCCGCTTCTTTTCTAAACTCTTTGGACTTTTCAACGGTTTCCGACTTATGCTTGATTAAGTAGATATAACCATATCTGCTATAATCATCGGTAAAAGTCATGTAGAAGCGACTCGCATCCTTTGTGGTGGTTCAAAAGGGCCCACACACATCAGTGTGTATGAGAACCAATAAACCCTCACCCCTCTCACAAGTGCCAGTGAAGGGTGACTTAGTCATCTTTACAAGTAAACAAGACTCGCACACATCATCATCTCTAAGGTAGAATGACTCTAATACTCCATCCTTTTTGAGTTGGGCTATTTGTTTCTTGTTGACATGTCGAATACGACAATTCCACAAACATGCTTTATCCATACTATTGGAAGAATCAACACACAACACATCATTTCCTAAGTTATCTACAACCATCACAGTCTCATATATTCCATTACAAGGTAACGCTTCAAAATATAAAACATTATTAAGATAAGGATACATAGAACCCTTTTCATTATTAAATGAATATCTAACACCTTGTTTATATAAACCATGAAATTAAACAATGTTTCTTGCCATATCTGGCGAATAGCAACAATTGTTTAAATCTAAACCTAATCCATTATTAAGCGTCAAGGAATACACTCCAATCTCGGTGACAGGCGACAATCTTCTATTCCCCATTATTAGATTTATCCTTCCATGCTCCACATCCCTATCTCTTCTAAGACACTGTAAATCAAAACATATGTGAAAACCACCTCATGTATCAAAAACCCAAGAAATAACATGTGATGAATCTTTAGATTTAATCATGTAAATACCTGCGAAAGATGCCTTGATCTTCCCATCCTTGATGGCTTGTAGATATTCTAGGAAGCCTCTCTTCCAATGTTCTATCTTGTGGCAGTGGTGGCACTCTGCCTCCTTCGGGTTAGAGTTGGGCTTAGCAGAACCAACTTTGGTTCCACTAGAAGAGTTACCATCTTGGGACTTTCCCTTGTGGTGGCTCTTTGAGGGGCCTTTTTTGTTTTTTCCCATCCCTTGACCTATTGCCAAGACATGTGCATCAATGGGATTGGGAGTTGGTGCAACAGACTTGTCCTTGAGATTACTCCCAGTAGTCCTCAACAAGCCTTGAAGCTTGCTCAACGTGACCTCTTCCTTATTCGTATGGTAGGTCATACGGAACTGGTTGTAGCAGGGAGGCAAGGAGTGAAGGATAATGTTAATTTCCAGCTCTTCATCAAAGTTAACATTTAACTTCAGCAGGCGATCGACATATCTCTGCATCTTTTGCAGATGAGCGGTAAGGGACTCTCCACTACCCATTTGGGCGGTGATCATCGAAGTGATGATCTCATACCTCTCTTTCCTCACACTTTGGTGGTACCGGTCCAACAATTCTTGATGCATCTCGTAGGGATACATATCCTCATAGGATTTTTGGAGTTCGGAAGTCATGGTCGCTAGCATGATGCAATGGAATTTCGTGGCATCACGCTCCTGGGGCTCAAAGGTAGCGATCTCTTCGGGAGTAGCAGCCTTCATGTTGATCTCCTTCAGCTTCTCATCGAGGACATATTCTTTTTCCTCATAGCGAGTGACCATTAGGATGTTATGAATCCAATCATGGAAGTTGGACCCATCAAATATAACTCTCCCACACAAGTTCATGAGTGAGAATGAGCTGAAGGAGTTGGAGCCGGAAACATTGTTGTTAACGTTTGACATCTAAAAAAGAAAAAGGACAAAGTTTTAATAGAAATGAATCCCCAATTAAACACCCAAATGAGAAATTAGGGCAAGGATCCAACAACATTATTTACAAATTAGAAGAGGGATGTCGATATAACATGTAAATAATTTGAAGGAAAGTTAATGACGATTCACTAATTCTCCACCAGGAAAAACAAAAACAAGATTAAGTGTTACATGTATTGAAAATTCCTAGATTCCTCTGAGATTCATTGAACTTTTCAATGGCATGTTTAAATCTCTATGTTCCCCTCTAGTTGTGATTGGGATGCTGAGGCTCACAAAGCGTGTGTGAATAACCAAGAAAATATACATGGTGCCCTCATTGTTACAGTCACATATTCGCCGGTTAGCCACACACACTCCATCAAACTATGACAAACATTGAGTCACCCTTTGCCACCTATGCTAAGTGTCCAATTAGTGTGTCGGTTAACCACACGCGCTCCACTAACGTCTTAGAAAGGGTGCAAAGTGTAATTTCATGGAATTGCACCAATTCACTTTTCCTAAAGTAACTAAGATTGGTAATTGTTGTAAAAATTTACTTACTTATATCATTCATTATACTTTTTAATGAGGAAGGGTTTTCCCTATCCTACCCGTTCAGCTAACGAGCCTCCACCAATCAAGGAAGCGGTGGGTGAGAGTGGACACTCATTAA